ATTATACGTGCTTTTGATCATTCGAGGACATTTTTAGTTATCAGCGTTAGGAAAGAAAATCATGTCATATCTTCCCTTTTCAGACAGAAATACTTTTTTTTCCCTCAAACATTAATATTAAACTGCTGTCAGGAATTCAGCACAGATTTTTTACAAATAAGGAAAAGGTAACCTTTTCAAATTGTGAGCAAATCTCAAGTTAGAACAAATAATTAATGATTGTTTTGGTAATATTACCAGCTAATAATGGAAAATAACGAGTAAAGGAAAATAAGGGAGCAGGCTTTTTTAATGATATTAAAGCACAAAAATTTGTTTTGTATTACTACTTTGTAAAGCCTACATTGAGCAAAAATTATAAAAATGACATCCTTCCTCAAAGGAATGAATATTACATCAATTTAATGAATTTAGACAAAAATAACCTTGTGCTRAGAAATGACAGCTTTAGATTCTTTGTTCAAAACTTGTAAATAATGTTATTTTGTGCAGTCTATTGAAGCTCAAGGTATGTATTGGGGATAAATCTCAGCTACTTTCACACTGAATTTTAGCTCAATATTTATAAACTGACTGAGTTACAGCCATGTTTTGTTCATCAATTTTTAACTAAGCCAAAACCAATGATTACTTTCAGAAAGTTTTTAAGATTAACTGTGTTGAGTCTAACAATTAATGTCAATGTATTGCGCAGATATCTTGAGATCAGAGTATGCAATTGGAACAATTCTTAGCTACGACCACAACAATTTGTACCTCAATGTTTGTAAAATCATTTAATCATTCAAGTARCAAATTACAGTACTTACAGTAAAAGTACCTAGAGTAAAAAATAAAATAAAATACCCTGTCCAGTTTGTTGAATGACTCTTGCTTGGAGGACAAGATAAAAATGTTTTTTTTCTGGTAAACAAACTTGTGAAACTATTAGTTTTCAAACATAAAACGTTTTGCTTAGTTTCCCAATCAAAAGCCTAAGATTCATGTCAACGAAACTCCCAGCGTTGTATAAAAAACTTTTCACCTCAAAGTTCTTTGGTACGAAACCAGAACCGTTCGCTTAACATTTCGAGCTTGTAAAGTTTAGTTCTGTTTGTTGCTATGACTGAAATTTGTTTTAGCTTGATTGGGTAAAATAAAGACAAAATTACCTCCATATGTTTGATTCAACTGTTCCAACAWCGCAGACAGGTGTGGGCCAGATCTGGTGTCAAGCTGGCACTGATGCTTGACTGGGCCAGGTCTGAAAATGATGGCACTGTTTTTAACAATGGCATGCCATAACTGGCCCATTTGTGGTTTTTGGTTTATGTAGCACTGGTCCATGCTTGGCTACCAAACGGCCATCATTTTTTTCAGTATCTAGGCCGAGCGTTGTGAGGCTGTGTTGCTACTCTTCTCTCGTCCAGAGACCTCTCTCCATCCTGAGCAGTACCAGTCAATAAGAGCACTCATCCTGAACGGATGAGACAATCTTTATTCCTCAGCTTCTCTTCATCTTTTAAATAAGRACTACCAGGTAAATCTTATCATCTCATTATTTTCCCRAAYGAGGARCCTCCCTCTGTTTTAAAGTCGTCCTGCTCTGCAACACTGCCCCCCGGGTCATCKTTAACACAAAGGTGTCGTTTTCATCAGGGTCAGAGTTTCATATCCTCCCTCTGTTCTGAAAATTCACACTCATTTGGCTCCAACTGAGGCACAAAAYGTTACTGTTTGATATTCTTGCGCCCTGAAGCAGGAACACTCATTTTACGCTGTACTGACAAATCCCACATTTGGTACTTCCTTTAAAAAATAAAATAAAAATCAGTGAGCATGGCTGACTTTAAAACAACACAGACAGACGTAATCGCAGTAATTGGCCKAACGTAACGTCGCCGCCTTTAAATGAGCTGCCGTTTATGTGACTTAAAAAGGCAAAAGAAGCAGGGCGCCGTTTTTAATCAGGTTTKTTCAGAATCAAAAGGGCGACGTGAGGAAAAAATGGCTCTGTAGGGGAAACATGAAACATAACCGTTGATCAATGTGCACTTTGTCGGCTCGTAAAGACTAAATCCTTTTTTAGGGGAGTTTAATTAGCCACGATGCGAGGTCGATTTGACTCTTTTCCAACGATTCAGAAGAAATTTCACTTGGATTTCCTGCAAAGAGTTCCTAATCAAGATTGATATTTCATGACAGTGTCTACATGCAAGATGGCCGCCTCAGCCGTTCATCAGTCACTTGTAGCAATATATGCTAATGCTTGTGTTGTGGAGGAGTCTTATTTTCAATAAGTYGTAGCCATTTTTGTTTGGCAAAAGTCAATTATCTGTGGAGGCATTAATTTGGATTAAATCCAAAAGAATATTATTTTCATAAAGTTTTATTAAAATGTATCCRTTGTTGGAGGAGGTTTGTGCTAATGCTAGAGACAAACGAAAACACCATTACAAGTCAGCTTTTGGCTTTGGTGACGGATGACAAAACGAAGCCCTTTCTTGTCCGCTTCAACCTAAACTCTTGTGTTTTATTTTGGACGATGTCCCTCCCTCGACACACCGCCACCTGAACCGCTGAAGTCCTCCCTCAGCTCCACTGCCGTCTGTTTCCAGCAGCATGTGCGTCCTCGGAGCAAAGAAAAAAGAAAAAAAAAAGAAAAAAAAAAAGAAAAAGAAGCAGCACAGCAGAGGCAGGTGCATCCGCTAATCCCACTTATGCCAACCACAAGGGTCCTGTTGGAGAAAACATTGCCCGTTTTCCCTAATCAATGAAAGCCCCCGCCCCCACCCCMCACACACTTTTAAGGCAGCCAGCGCGAGCAGTCGATGCCTGTGTTTACCCGCAGCCCCAGATGTTGTGCCATTATGTTGGTTCGTCAAATCAAAGCACTTCGCTGMTGTTTGAATTTGTTGAGCTAGCAAAGCTGAGCTGCGCGTGCCKTTGTTTTTTTATCAGTGCTGAGCAAACTCTCAGAGCACACACTCAGTTAATGGCTCGCACGTGCCACAAAAAGAGACTTATTTGAAGAAAGCTTCATGGGAAATGTCTTTTTTTGTTTTGTTTTGTTTTGTTTAACTTTTGGGGTCAAATACTGAATCGGAGCAATGCAAAAATATGAATCTTTTAAAGGCACAGTGTGTAGGATTTTGTCAATTCTTTTAGCCGAAATTGAGACATCACTAGTCCTGAAGCTGCTGGTAGACATCGCGGTTGGAATTATCAAAGGTTTTTGACACCTGAGAGACAC